GAACCGTTTTTTGATGTGTTTGTCGTATTAGGTGCTAGATAAAAGCTTCTTTTATCGATCTGTGTGCTGAAAATACCTTGGAATGTTTTTACATGGCCGTGGGGATGTAAAAAGAAAGTCGACGAAGAGAATCAGCCAATGTTACTTAGGACCTAATGCGATGTTCAGCTTGAAGTTTCCTTGTAAAATTTCCTAGGGATTAGTCGGGTTGATTTATTTTTAGAGGTCAATGGGTGACCTCTCCAATTTTTTTTTTTGTTTAAAAAGTAAGTTTTCCCATGGAAAATCCTATGTAAAATTAAAACCGCTGGCGCTAAAATATAGTTCCACTGACCGACCTGAAATTTTACACTCTTATTCTAAGACCCAGAAGGCCCCCGAAAATCATACTGGAACTGGAATTTGAATTTTGTCCCACCCTAATGACCACTCATACATCTAGTTTTTACTGGAAATTCTATGTATGGGGGCTCATTGCAAGACAGCTTATATTACATGATATAAACCATAGTCTTTACGGGATATAAAGGTACAAATCTAGAGGTTGGCCCGTGGAAAATTAGAGCTTTTATTTTTGTGGGCCAGTCTAACGTGAGAGATACCGTGCGGGACCGAAATCCATACACCTAAATAAGCACGAGAGAATCATTAACGGTCAATACTAAATAATGCTATCACATTATGCTCTGTATCACATCTTTTTCCTTTACATTTATCTTTATTTTTCCAATATTTGCAAACATCAGGTCTTAAAATTACCTTTAATTATTATAAAAAAGGATTTAAATTGCACATATCTTGAATCAAAATCCGTACAGTTTTGAATCGAAATCCGTACACTGTGTTGAGGATGAATCAAAATCCGTACAGTCATGAATCAAAATCCGTACATGAATGTAAATCACTAGTTTACAGCATATTTGAACTTTGTACGCTGATGGTCATTTCCCATGTAAAATCGTGCGCTGAATCCAAAAATGTAGTCCAAAAAAATCTCAGTAGGATAGTTTTTGAGATATAGGGGTAAGAGAGGCATAGTGAACAGGTGGGGCATAGTGAGCATCGCGTGCTCCAGCTTGGACTTCCGGCCGTTCAGAACAAATTTGTTGGCTGTAGGATCAATATCATAATGATATTGATCCTACTACCAGTTGATTTGTTTCATGCAGTTGGAGATCCAAAGCCAAAGTACGGGATGCTCACTATGCCCCGCCTGTTCACTATGCCCCTCCTTCCCCTAGCTAAAAAATGAAATCTCACTTAAAAAAAAATCTATAACACAAATATCTCTAGCTGCAATGAAGTGATATTAATTATTTTAACGCCAAATTAAACGTGATAAAATTTTATTTGGATCGTTATAACACTATTTTTCCACCATAAACATTTTAATTTACATTGCTTAAAAACTAAGCAGAAATTCAATTTTTCTTAGAAAAACTTAAAAAACAAACTATTAACTAACAACAATACCATCAATCTCACTGACAATTGATGTTCAATTGGTCGAACGAAAAAATTTCTTACCTCTAATTTAGCGTTAAAATAATTGATATAATCTCATTACAACCGGAGATATTTGTATTATAGTAATCAAACTTGTTTAAAGTGAATTTCTATTTTAAGCTGTATCTCGAAAACTATCCTACTGACATTTTTTCGATAACATTGTTGAATTCAGCGCACGATTTTACATAAGAATCATTCGTCAAAAGTTCAAGTTCATTTTTGTTACTTTTACTTTTTTAACTAATGATATCAGCGTTAGATTAATTGATGCTCCAATCGATTCAAAGGAGTGGTAACTGATTTCTTTTTATTTAAGAAGGTGACTGTTCTGGATTTTTATGCTAACTAATATCATGTTTAAGGATTCATTTCCTTCCAATTTCATTCTATACCAGTGCTTTGGGTTAAATATTCTTGCTGGAGCTTTCCTCCGATCACAACTTCGAGGTTTTTGAAATTTGACATGTGATAACGTGCAAGATGCGCCTTACTTTGGAACTTGGGGGTAGTCCAGATCAATGCTACAAAACATTATTAACCGGGACTAAACTGGGCGGTGTAGCTTGGACAATGTTGTCGAATCGATAATAGAAAACTGAAGAGAAGACTGCCAAAACATCTTTAATACAACGATAATGGGAACGCTCCACCAACCCACTGGCATCAAGCGATAAATTAACCGGTTCCTAAGATGGTAGCCCTATAATGGCGGATAAGTAAAAAAAAAAAAAATACAACCATCTTAGAAACCAACAAAAAAAAGACAATGAACTGACATCAAGGATTAATTTTTCGTTTTGTGCATGAAAATTAAAATTGGTAAAATAACGACTATAACTTAATTAAATTTAATAGGGTAAATGTTGGCTTCGGCACCCATTGACTGTTTTCGGCAACCAAAATTTAAACGTTAATTTCACTATGTTTTCCCATCAACGCACTTCCCTGAATGTGTCCAAACGATTGTTTAGCCTTTCAGCTTCAATCTGATTATATTTGAACGATCGAGCAATCCAGTAATGCTACATTTTTCTTCAAATAAAGCATACGCACTACAAAATGGGGTTGATTTCGAGTTGCCGATAATAGAACAGCTGGTTAACACGCAGTTCTAATGGGAAGGTTGCCGAAGAAAAAGAGGCTGCCGACAATAGTCACACTCACCTGAGAAGTTTGGAGCGTTGTAAAAACGCTTTCAAAACGTTTTGAAAAATTCTGTCGATTGGAATGGATAGAGAAGCAAGCAGCAGATGAATGTAAACAAACAGACACATCATATATGTGTGTGACGCTGAGAAAATGCTAGTAGAAGTGCAGACGCTGCTTAGATTGACGAGAATACGTAAATTCCCCTACGTCAAGAGAGTAATAATCATAAAAATGCAGTTCTTTCATTGCTTCTTTTTCACAGCTTTCTTCTGTTTCTTCTCGATTGTACCCATTGCCTTTTCAAGTTATAATGCTTTCTTGCTTCCAACCCTAATAAAAATAACCATAATAGAGAGCTTAACGACGTGTTCGGGGTATCATCCAAACCATTTGTGGGATAGTTTACCCATCCGGGATAAAGTTCGTTCATGGTATTTGTTTATAAGGGAACTTTCTTTCCTCTTCTTCCTTTTCTTGCTCCTCTTCCTCTCTCGCTCAACCTTTTTCTTTTGTCGTTCCTCAATCCTTTGTTTCTTTGCGTTCTCTTTATCAATTTCCGCCCGCACTACTTTCATGTGTATTACCGGTCATTCCTCGCTGGTAGCTACTGTTGGGAAAGCTCTCTGGCCCATTTCTGTCTGCTCTCTGTAAGGGAGCATCCAACAATGACGTAGCATATTTTTGATAAATTTTATACTCCTCCCCCCCCCCCCCTCGTAGCGTATTTGGCTATATCCAATACATGGCCGGTCACAAATTCTGAAACCCTCACCACCCCCCTCAAATGCTACGTCATTTATGCATGGTCCCTAATTTGTATATGCGTGTTGTTGATATCCTGTAGGGGAGCTGCGTTGTTTTACTTTTCGGCTGGTTCTTGACGCTGTTCATTAAAAGATATTAATAATATAACATTTACAATACGAATAAAATAAGAGAGTAGCGATTCAATACGGCATCTCTTATGGTGGTGAATGGAACGGCAAAATCCATGGATGCTTCTCGGTAAGATTTCTCCGCACGCATCATTGCCACAGTCTTCTCCAAATCCTCCGGCGTGTATTTAGTTTCCATGATCTGCTGAAAAACATTGGATAAAGTAGAATCATCATTAGTGATGCACAAGTGTACGGATTTAGAATCAGCTGTTATATATGGATCGAAATCCGTACAGTACTAATTTTGATAAATAAATACCTTATGAACGATCCATTGCTTAGAATTGAGATATAAAACGATAAAAACTAACCTTTCCGATCGACCTTCAGGAAACTACTTGCAAACATCACTGAAATACGCTTAACAAACTGAAGTAAATCTGAGAGATTTTCTTAGAAAATCGTTAAGAACGCAACCGATTGACAGAAATGCCCAACACGTGTTGAGGTTTTTATTTTTCTTATTTTAATTGCATGACATTCTGCTTAATTGTTGACGTAAACATTAAGCTAATGCATGAATAAACATGAATATGTATTCATGTATAATATTTACATTGTTATGATGCATATAAATAAACAAATTCAACAGGGTGTACGGATTTCAGTCCCGCACGGTACCCGAATCTCAAATCCAAGATATTTTTGAATACCTTAAATTGCACCTACTTTGATGCAATTCACACCCAGTTTTTTGACGCATCATTTCAAATTGCAAAAAAGCGCGCCTAATTTTGTGTAAAATAACAAAAGGAATGTTATGACGGGAGATTTTTGAAATCTGCAATGATGCGTCGAAAAAATATGGGTTTGTATTTTTAAAAAAATGCATCAAGGTATCGAAGAATATCCTGGAGATGCCGGGTATCGATCCCGGTGCCTCTCACATGCTAAGCGAGCGCTCTACCATTTGAGCCACACCCCCTTAACACATGTTGATTGCCTCGCAGTTTTAAAACAAACTCAATCAATCCAGCAGAATCCGTTTCAAACCTGTTGAAATGCTTGAACATGATTGCCACCATATCACGCTCCAACCATACATTGCATCATTCTTGTGCAAGGCACACAACCACCAAGGGGCGGGCTGACTCATCGTTGTTATAGGACATCTATGAAATTGAAAATATTCCTATACACTTTGACTTTGCCACCATCGCATCTGCAATAGTCATCCGAAATCAAGGAAAATTCCATTCAATTTCAGAAAATGTCCCAAATGTTCCTATCTGAATGTGCACATTCAAATCTGCTGCGTTATACAATCGTCACCCCCGGTAACGCCACTTTATTCACTGTTTGAAAACTAGATAACTACCACCGTGTGGCTGTCAACCGAACGTCACCGACAACTTAGTTCCCCATATTGCCGCTGCTCGTCGCCACCGGCGTGTCATCGGCGACCTTCATTCAACCTTTTGACGTCTCGCTCTGGCTCAAAATACTGCTCCCAGTCGTTCGGTTCGTTTAAATCGTGTGTGCACGCCTTCCAGTAAAGGTCGCTAGAAGTCGCATTTGTGCTCTCGTATTTGGTGAAGTAGTGAGTAGACTATTTTTTTTTTATTAGATTGATTTTCAGTTTTCAAGTGGAGAAGAATTTATTGTGGTGATTTGCTGGAGAAAGTTTTTCTGAGGAAAACTGTTCGGTGATTTAGTGGGGTTTGTACTAGTGAGATAAACGGGGATTACCCAATGCAAAATTTGCAACTTGTTCGGCGATGTCGTAATGCGTTGAGGTGCACTTTTGCACTGATAGTGCGGATGGGTATCACTTATGGATAGTGCAAGTTGGTTGATCGGATTATGGGGGAGGTTTTCAATCAATTTTGGAAACAGTGGATTTAGAGGTTTTTCGAAAACCCAGAGTATTTTGTTTTCTTCAATTTGACATTGGTGTAACCTTCGGATCGAGCGAAAAAATGGTTCTCAGATCACTTTCCTTTTCATTTTTTTTCCCGTTTTACCAGAGAGGGGTAGGTGATATGAAGATGTCCCCTCTTTCCCTTCCAGTCTAGGGGAGTGTCAATGCTCTTGCACCTTTGAGATGACCTCTAACAATAAAGTTATTTTATGCATCAAAAGAATGGGCTGTATAACCTTTGGTCAATTGTTCAAATACAAAAAAGATTTTGATGAATAACTGGTCCAATTGTTCAAGTCATCCAAGGAAAATGGAACCTTTTGGAATTGTAATAACCAGCCGGGATTCACAATCGATTCTGCGCATATTGGCACTGGTTTCGATAGCTACTTTCGATTTCGAACAAAGTTTTTCGCTGTCCACCCGCAACCCTCAACTAATGGCGATACTTATCGATCGCAAATCGTAGTATCTGAAAATAACTGCCCGAGCGGTCATTCTGAACTTTAGTAGACACGTGTTGCAGGAATGATTTTGTAGTGGTTTCTTTCCAACAGGAAAAAGTTCAAATTTTATGTATTGAATGGAATTTTCCAGCTTTCTAATCACGACTCGCCTTGATAAGAATGCTGTCTCTTGTAGACAAGCCTGTTTTCACTTTCTTCGGCTTGCGTCCAAAGAACGATCTTCAACACGAAAGATACGTCATCGCTATCAGCGTCGAGCGGTGCGATAGCGATGACCTTCTTCGAAGACTGTGGGTCAAGTTCAATTACGCTCAAACAGCTTTCCAACTGATCGCATGAGACTGGCTGACTGGTTATAAGGCTGTTTTTTAAAACACAAACACAATCACCTAATTGGTGATAATTGCCGAGGAAGTCTTCTTCATTCAGGACTTTTAACGATGCCACGTTCTTGGGTGACTTGCTGTTGAAAGTTATAGCTGTTATACAATCGTTCAAAGAACTTAATGGAATGATGGAGCCGATTTGGTATTGTTTTGGCCCACACCCTGTCTTACGTCACAGTCTGAAGGACATTTTCAATGCCAGTCGAAATGTCCCTACCACTAACAATGCGCAAATGCCGGCATTTTTATCATTCTTTGCAGACGGTGCATTGACCTCATATCGCATGTTATTCTAATCTAATACTTATTTTAGAATCTTCAACAGTATTCCTTTATGCCTTCTAAACCTTCAGAAACTACTTGGCTAATCGTTGGCTAGATTATCCGAGAAAAATTAAACCCAGACACCGTTGCATAGGGCATCCAGTTACGTAATCGGGTTGAGCGCATGACAGCTTCTGCTTTTGTGAATGAAAATTCTTTCCCTCCTTCCTCTAACCACCCACCGGTGGATTGGAAAAACCAAGGGACAACGAACAATAAGCTTTCACTCTCGTTTCGGACGCCGCCAGTAGCAAACGTTTTTATTGTTCGTGGCTTATTAGAACTGGTGCCAACAGTAGCAGGTACCTACTTGGTGGTGACGGTGTCAAACGGCATCAGTGATTGGTTTAAAAATAGTGATCTTTTGTTTACAATCAGGTACCATTTATAGAATCAGTGTTTGAAAATGGCGCTGAGGAATTGTGTCTAGGTTGATTTCTTTTTCAAGGTCCTGTTAATTTATTTGATTTAGGGTAGGAGATTGAGTCGATATGGTTTTTTATTTTGGGTTTTAATTCATGTAGATGGCATTAACAAATCGATAATCCTGGTCGTCATATGAAACGATAATGGAGCTTGACCTTTGCTAACCTTAGAGTTATACAATGGCTTCAAGGATTGCAAGCTTTTGTCTTGACACATGTATTTTTTTTTCTATCGAACTAGAGATAGCTTTTGCTTATTGCTACTGTAAGCTGGCTTTTTAAAGTCCTTCAACTTATTACTAATTATTTTATTTAACATCTTATTTAACTGACATTACCTCAAGCGATCGAAACTTCCACAAAGTACCAAGGCTGCTGGTTGACATGGCTGGTTATCCACAATGCAATGATCAATCGTTATGATTCAGCCACCATTCGAAAAGTCTGGCTATCTACTTTCGTATGTATTGGGTAGAAACCCGATTGAACCTGTGGTTGATCATTCAGGAACGGAAGAACCCGGAAAACTCCCGAGCAAAATGCGTGTCGATTCATGTTGACAGGACTGGTTCTCGGCAATTTGGTTACCAAATTTTGATTTTTGATTGAGCCACTATTTGAAAGGTATGACTATCTACTTTTGTACGAAACCGATAGGGATCCGAATGGACCTGTGGTTGGCCAGTCGGGACGGGGAAACCCGTGAGAGGTGGCTCTGCGGAAATTCGGATTAAGCTGGAAAATGTTCAATAACTGAAAGTAGACCTAGAGGTCTGCGATTTTCTCTAACTTGCATACAATCATGAGCATAGAGGAAATATACCAATTTGGCTACCGGGTGGTCAGGGAACGGTCCTCTGGATATGCGGAATCACCGGTAAAATGATCAATTCCTGAAAGTAGACTTAGAGATCCGTGATTTTTTTTTTTCTAAGTTGCATACAATCATGAGTATATAAAATATATGCCATCACCATATCAACTCCTTTGCCGGGTGGTCAAAAAATGGTCCGCTGGGTATCCGGAATCACCGATAAAGTGGTTAATTCCTGAAAGTAGACCAGGAGATCCATTTTTTTCTAAATTGCATACAATCATAAGCATAGATGAAATACGCCATCAACTTATTGATTATGCTGCCGGGTGGCTATAAAACTGTCCTTTGGATATCCGGAATCACCAATAAAATGGTCCATTCCTGAAAGTAGACTTCAATATTCGTGATTTTCTCTAACTTGCACACAATCATAAGTATATCGAAAATATGCCATATCGATTTATTTTCCGAGTAACCCAAAAAAAGGTCCTTTGGGTATCCGGAATCACCGGAAAAATTGTCAATTTCTGAAAGTAGACCTAGAGATCCGTGATTTTTTGAGTATATTGAAAATGTGCCATCACCATATCAATTCCTTTGCCAGATAGCCAAAAATGCTCCTGTGGGTATTCGGAATCACCGGGAAAATGTTCAATTCATGAAAGAAGACAGAGGTCCGTGATTTTTTCTAAATTTCAAAGAATCATGAACATTTAAGAAAAATACTTTCACCACAATGATTCTTCAACCGGGTGGCCAGGCAACGGTCCTCTGGATATCCGGAATTACCGAAATGGTCAATTGATTATAGTAGACCTGGAAATCCGCGATTTTTAGTAAATTGTATACATTCATGAGCATAGAGGAAAAAAAGCTGATTTATATTATCGGATGGATGGTAACAGTTGAACTTATTTCAATTATTTTTCCTAACGAGATTTAAGCATTGACCCTCAAAAACTCAAGATTTCAAAATTCGTAAACTAATTAAAAACATAAGCTGTAAACATCACGTCTATCAAATGCAGTAAACAACTTGATTTCATAAACTTTCCCTCCCGTCAATAATCCCCTAGATTATGGTACCCGCCACAGCTCACCGATTTCAAAAACCTCATCCTATCGGCCAAATTCCACGTTGGCAACAGGAGGAAAGTGTAGCTTGCAGCGGTAGTGATACTTGTTTGAACACAAACCTACCGTCCATTCGTCGTCGCACTCTTATCAACAACTAAACAAAAATACAATCTCACTGCCCAACACAAGCAAAGGTACCAACTTAGTTGAAAGACCCACGGGTTATCACGGAAAACAACACACCTCCTTTTCTGTGCATTTCCAACCGTCCACAAATGTCGTCGTCGTCGCCAATCTATTTATATGCCAATTTCATATGTAAAATTGACTCGCTTGAACTGGTTCCAAGTTAAATTTCAGTTTTTTACCATTTCTTTACATTCTCATTTTGTTTCGCCGGCCGGTTGGTTTGATAGCCAAACCGATAAGCGTGCTTCTCATTAGGCATTTTCGTATTTTTCGGTAGAAACTCGTTTGACGACATTCGACTGCCGACCGGTCTCACGTACCATTTCAAAACGATGATGCTGTTTTGAAAAATTTCATGCAATATGTTGGTACCTACCTACATACACAGCAAAATGTATGCTCGCCGTCTGACGATGTAGTGACGTCATAGCCGACGCACATGCGCTTCGGTGGTCACGTCTTATGTGTCAATGTGAGTGAATGTAAAGCATGCTACGTACATACCTAGTTAGTGAGTCGTTTTATGAGGCTTGTTCGCGATAGATCTAGTCGAGACGCACGACGTCGTCTCAGTAACGCTATCTGGCTGTAAATCACTACAATAAACAACAGGAGCAGTAACATGCAGTGATGGACGAATGTTCAGTGACTTGATACTAAGCGGTAAACCTTTTTTCCATTTTTAGATATTCAAACCGCAATCCTATCAACATGACTACCTATTTCAACTACCCACCAAAGGACGTCCAGGATGAGCTGGTCCGCATTGCCAAGGCCATCGTCGCCCCCGGCAAGGGTATCCTGGCTGCCGATGAGTCGACCGCCACCTGTGGCAAGCGTTTCGCTGTAAGTAGAATACTAGCTTTAAATGAATCCAATAGAGTGCCAATCCGTATATTTATGTAGTTTTTGGGAAAATATGGTCAATTTTGTAGTATCTATAGATCTGAATTTATTCCGGTGTGGTTACCGTTCTAGCTCACATCTAATGAATTTGAAATTCTTTTAGAAACGACTTTTTTCCACTTCAGTACACATCGGAATAAATCATAATTTTTACTTTTGTCACACCCCTTCCAAATTTCTGATAATCATTCAAAAATCTTTTCAAAATTTCCTTGATAAATTCCACTAGTTTACAAATAAAAGTAAAAAAACAACTTGAATCTTTGACCAATGATTTTTATGTAAAATCATGCGCTGAGTCCAAAAATGTAGTCGAAAAAATCTCAGTTTTCGAGATATAGCTAAAAAATAAAAATTACATTTAAAAAATTTTGGATGCTAAAATACAAATATCTTCAGTTGTAATAAGAATATATCAATTATTTAAACGCCAGATTATTTTATCAATTATTTAAACCAGATCAGCTGAACATCAATTGTCTGTGCGATTAGTGGTATTGCTTTTAGTTAATAGATTGTTTATTATATTTTTTTTTATTTTTTGCAAGAAATTAATTTCTGTTAAGTTTTTAAGCAGTGTTAGTAAAAATGTTTGTAGTGCTTGTACCACTAATCTCAATGAAAATAATATTGAAATAATCGAAAGCAAATTTCATAACCTTTAGTTTGACGTTAAAATAATGTGTATTTAGTAAACACATTTTCTTAAAGTGTTTTTAGCAATATCTCGAAAACTGTCCTACTGAGGTTTTTTTTTTGACTACATTTTTGGATTTAGCGCATGATTTTACATAAGAAATGAACATCAGCGTACAAAGTTCAAATTTTCTGTAAACTAGTGCTACTCTCTGAAATTCTCCTGAAATTTTCCCTACATAATTCTTGAACGCTCTAAATATTCTCTCCAAAGGAATCTTGGCATTAATTTTTCAATTTTCTTCGATTTTTTCAAAATTTGTGCAAGATTTTTTTAAATTTCCATAGCCTTCTTTAACGTCTCCTTAAATTATGAAACCCAATTTTCTTCAAAATTTTCCTCTGAAATCTCCGAATACATTCACAAATATTCTTTTAATATCATCCTAGAATTAGGGGTTATCTCTGGTGTACCTTGAAATGTATTACACAACTTTTTAGTATTTATTTTAAGAGCAATTAAAAAAAAAACATTTGTTGTACATATTGTATTTTGAATTCTAGAGGTTTTTTCAGAGTTTTATTAAGGAGATTTCAAGGAGAATAATTCTCGAGGAATAATGCTGTTTAAAATACACTTTTGAAATCTGCAAATCCCTCAAAGTTGACATGACTTACACTTCATAATGGTCCTGAAATCTTGCACAGAGTCAGAATTGTCTTGGAAATAGAAGTTCCGCCCATCATAATTTCCATAAATACGGCAAATTATTTTTAGGATTTTCTTGGAATCCTCTTCCAAGCTGTCGTGGAACTCTTCTCGACATTCCCTTGAAACTATCGTAAGAATAGCTTGCACATTTTTTTTTTGAACCAATTCTTGAATACCATCTGAATGCTTCTAAGAAATGTCTCCTGAAATTCCGTAAAACTCTCCTAAACATTGATTTCCTCTCCAGGATTTCTGAAAAGATGTGGAGGAAATTTCAAGGGTGCACCATAGTGGCGTCCCGTAGCCTCACTTTTTACGTAGGCACCAACCTTCAAAACGAGATTTAAAGCCAAAACCAGATTCATACTCGAATCGGTTGGAAAATACACTTAATCTTCTTGTTTACTCGATATCTATCCATTGCAAGCATTATGTTGATAATTGCAGGGCTGTTGCAACAGGCGCGGATTTCGCAAATTTCGCAATTTTCGCTAATTTGTCGCGGATTTGAACTTTCAGTCGCGAAAATCGCGGAAAACATTAAATTGTGGAATTCCTTGTAACCTTTCCGTCCCGGATTATTTTGTTGTTCATTTGGCTCTCAATTTTTTACCGGTTTAAACCAAACACCCTGCAAATAATCGAGAAGTGATATCAATTCCATAAGTCACACCGGATTTACACGGAAATTCCCAGGGGTTTGTCCAATGTGAGACATTTTCATGTTTCTTTTTATTTCCAATATGAACATTGCATTTTTCGTTGTCAACTCATAAACGAATCGTATATATGCGAGTAATTGCCATGTATACCGGATATTCTAGGTTCTCAAAATCGTCCTGGAGTTCAGTCGATTTGTTCAACTATATCAACCAAGACTGCAATAATGTATGTAGTGAAATAAGTCCAAACAGAGTGTCTATGTGGATCGTGCCCGACCTATTGCTACGTATACCAGATGTTATAGGTCAGCGTTGCCGGTGGTGTAGTGGTAAGCATGATTGCCTCTCACCCCAGCAGGCCTGGATTCAATCCCAGTTGGCGCTGGCGGTATGTTCTGAGGCATAACATCTTTGATCACGCCTTCCTTCGGAAGGGAAGTAAATCCGTTGGTCCCCGGATGTTCTACGGCCTACAAAGAAGTTCAATGGGTTTCTATGAAGCTCAAGGGTTTTTTTTGTGTGAACCTTGGAAGATCTATAAACTTCTCAGAATTTCAATGAACTTCTTGAAAGATCCTCAGTCCATTCATGCTGACTTTTGAAAGTTCTTCTCAGAAATTCTACGGTCTTTTCGGAAGCTCTACATCAACTTTTCTAATCTTTTATTTTAAAATGACTGTATCTTTGTTCGATGAACATGTTTCGAGCTGCATTTTGTTTATTTCTAGTTCATTCTTGGCTATAACTCATAATGATGAACAATGTTGGACTAGAGTTATATCATTGCTGAGATCCAGAGACTTCTTGGAACTTCTTGGAAGTTTTACGGACTTTTCGGAAGTGCTCGGATGTTATATGGACTTATCAGGTATTTTATGGATTTCTCGGAAGCTCTATGGGCGTCTCAGATATTCTACGGACATTTTGGAAATTCTTCAGACTTCCCAGAAGTTTTACGGACTTTGGTAGTTCTCGGGACTTCTCGGAAGATCTACGGACTTCTTGGATAATCTACGGCTTTTTTGGACATTTTACAGACTTTCCGGAAGTTCTACAGACTTCTCGAAAATTCTATAGACTTCTCAAGTTTCATATTAAAAGTTCATAGCACTTCCATTTCCGGCTTCTTGAACAACATCTCCGAAATTCCTCGACAGCTCCAGGAACAACTCGAAATATCGGACAACTTCTGAAAAATTTCTTCTGGCATGTATACGGCACCTCCGAAAAGTTCAACGTGCCCTCCTCCATCCCTATCCCAGCATCCGAGTTACGCATATGCCTGCTGTTCTCCTGAAGATAACCATTAAATTCTCATAAAAATCATCAAGAGATTACCCTTGAAGTTCTCCTTACAACACAATTCCCTCGGAATTGATCCGAGAATTCAATTCAGAACATGCTTTCATCTCTCAAGAGATCCTTTAGACTTCATCTCAACTATCTTGAAATTTCAAAATTATAACTAAAATATTTTTTTTCTCCGAAAAATTCCACAAGTATTCTCGTTATAATTCTATGCAAAATTCTTAACAATAGGTCGTATGAATAAAAGCGTTTACTTTACTTTTCCCGTAAGAAAAGCACGGGAAAGTACAGTAAACTCTTTTTATTCATACGGCCCAAAAACAATTAGTAACGATCTGGGATTGTATCCAATTCAGTTTTTCTTTGGAGTGTAGTTTCTTGGATTAATTAGGGCTAAAATGTGGTTGATAAAAAAAGTTTCAGTTTTGATCGCAAAGATGGCGCAGCGATACAAACTTTTTTTTATTTCACAAGATAGATGTTTACTATCTTTTGCAAGGTTGCAGAACATACAATTTTATGAAAATGGCTCTAATGTTGACCTATGGATCTAAGATTGGGCCCATCGCTAAAAATCTGCTATTTATCAATGTTATCTAGATGAACGCGTCATTGGGACGGTACCAATGGATATTTTTGGTCGCTATTAAAAATTGAGTTGATTGCCGAATTTATGTATGGGCCCAAATTAGGGGCATTTCGGCTAGGATAAATATTTTTCACGAGCACGGCGGCAGATGTCAGTTTTGTGCTTTGATCATAAATTTCATTGTAATTTGTATGATCATTCATGTTGGTTTGTCGGTGCTATGCCTGCAGATGAACGGTAATACACGCTTGTTCAGGCATTCTTCGATGTAAACTTGGGATGGCATCGTCGAGGCTGTGCCGGTTCGGATGTTTACTGGCTTTGTACCGCTTGTATCCTTCCCTGGCAAGGATGTTCCGCACCGTTTGAAAGTTGGCGTTGTACCTTCTGGCCACACCTAGGATTGAAAGACCGGGATTGGCTTTATCGCACCTCAACACCTTGCTGCGCAGCTGACGATTCCTGGTTCCAGTTGTTTCGTAGGTCCGCTGATTCCTTTCAACACTCAGGGTTTCATTGTATATTTTGAGTACTGGACAAACTGTTGTTTTTGGCATCTTCAGCACTTAAGCCAGCTTGGAACCGGACCACTCCGGATTTTCCAGGTGTTTGTGGACAATCTTTGTTCTTCTTTCGAGTTAAATTTGACGTTATTTCTGAACGCGATCGTCTACTTTGATCAAACTTGCACCAGTTGTTCTCTATAGAAGTGTAAACAAACCAACTCAAAGATTTTCGATTCCAAACACTAGAGGCGTGCTAGCGGCGCGTGAGGGGCGTACCAATTTACTTTTAGCCAGCCTTTAAAGCAATTACTTTATTCAACCTATCACTCTTTACAATTTGGTCTAATGGTGTAAAAACAAGTAATGCACCGCATAATGCTATTTGACGTTTACACCAAACTTTCATCTGGTATTTGGCCTTTTTTCAGTTAACAAGTGGCCGACAACGTGTTTCAGCAACATTTCTTGACCACATAGCTTGATATTCGGCCTAAGTATTCGGTCGTTCAATACTAATGACCCATTCAGTCTGATAGCGTTCCTAATGATTTTTACAATACCAGACTCAATAAATTCAGAGTCTTTAAGAACATACGATACGTCGAACATACAAAAGCTATACAAATGTTTCTAAGATGGTACGTATCGTGAAAATGACCCATAAGAGCATAACAGTCCCATATGAATTTTTATCAAATATAAGTTATCCATTAAAATCGATTGTAAACTATCTGCATTTTACACTGTGCACTAAAAGGTACATGTTCTGTTCAGAAAATATGGTGAAAATATCAAACCTTGGTAAGAGTCTACGGATAAATACATTTTCAACAGCGTTTATATTTTCTGCTTGCTGTTTTTCCACATGGGACTGATATGCTTTTATGGGTAAAGTACAACGTAAATAAATAAACAAATAATTCAACAAAATTACGTCATTATATTGAAATATAATTTCTACTTCAGAAAAGGCTTCCTGTAGTTTGGCTACGGATGATACATTTCCACAAATTATTTTGAAAATTAGCACTTGGTCACGCTTAAAAATATGTATGTACTTCCATTTCTTGCTGCATATTTACAACCAGGAAATTTTAAAATTAATTTTAAAATCTTCTAATGAATTTTAAAATGATGATTCACTGGTGATCTCGCATTGTTTGAAAAAATCATACATTTCAGCGATACATTGCGCATACGTTATTAACGTTAGATTTGGCGTAAATTTACACTATATTCCATGTAAATTTAAGCGCAATACCGTGGACCCCAGTTAATCTGAACGACAGCTCGTGCATATTAACGGGATACATTTTTCATTTGAACTTTCACCGTTCCTATTACGCTGCATTGAACATTGTGCTTGCGGACATTGATTGGCAGTTTGTCGAATCAACCGTAAGTGCCAATGATGCTGCGGATTTTTTTCAGTACTGTGCCAGAAGATGCTATTTTCCGCATTTTCCCAGTACGACGAACCTCTCAAAAGCCTCCGTGGTTGAACCCACACCTTCGCGCGATAAATCGTCAACGCTCAGTCCTCCTCCTCTCGTTCACCATACTACAAACGACTGTTCAATTTCGCAAGTCATCTCTATTGAAAATACCATTATTACTCGATTACTTTTTCGAAGGGACGTATCAGCTTTTGTAAACAATGTATTCGTCCGTCGGTTTGGCTTAACTGGTAGCTCGCCCATGCATGCTAACACTACCATCAGATAGGGGAAATATTCTACTACCTGATAGTGGTGTTAGTATACGTATAAGCTAATACGTCCTTTCGAAAAAAAAAGTCGAGATTTCTTTTACAATCGACACGTGAGACGCACGGAAGTGAACCTCCTCACGAACCCGAAATTTGGTTGGTCGTTTGTTAACGCCAAACGGAAGGAATCCGGATTGCCTTGTGGCATGTTTCTCGGAAATGACACGGGAAAGTGATAAATGCAACCTGTTTGCATTTTAAGCAAGTGTTTCACGATTTGTCCGCTTCGTCGACACAAGTGCTGGATGCTACTGTCGGGATGCCACGTGATGCGTTTAGTCTTGATATTCCTCGCATTACAGAAGACATGGCAAAAGCCGCAACAAGTAAACTGAAGCTCTCGGACCTGTCCAGACGACATTCCTGTTTGCGTGCTGCAAACATTATTCGATACGGATCAACACGGCTATCCGAAGCGATCGGTATCCACGAACCGGTCCTGCAGTTTACCTCTAACTGTCTGCGATGCTTGAATTCTCGATGGCAAGTCTATGCTGCGGTCTTTATTAGAGTCAAGTTCTGTTGTATGGGGTCCTTTCCATGCCAAGTGGATTGCTAGAATTGAATCCACTCAACGGAAGTTTGTAAGATATGCTCTTCGTTTTCTCAGTTGGTGTGACCCAGCGAACCTGCCACCGTACGAGGAGCGTTGACGTCTCATGAGCATCGAACCACTAGAGGTGAGACGGACGGTCGCTCAATCTATGTTCGCTGTAAAGCTGCTTCTAGGTGACTTCTACTGTTCAACATTGCTGGCACAACTAAATCTGTGACTTTCTGTTTTTGGAACCACGGAACAGAAATCTTGCACTACATGAGCCAATTTGAACAATCAGTCGGCAGTTCAACAACTTCTTCGGTGTGTTTGACTTATATTCGTCAGCTGACGTGTTTCGTCATCGGCTAATTTCGGCCTCTTTCGAACCGTTGACCGTAATTAATAAGTTTAAGTTTTGTTCATTTAGACATTACTTGTCAGTTGAATTATTAATAAACAAATCTAGTAACCCTACCAACATCAGAATAGTGAAACTCTGGTAGCCTTATGTGCTGTTTTGTTTTGATTCTGCGTTGCGTTTCTCACCGTTCCATTTCGTTTTTCTCTATTCCATGTACCTACTTGATGACGTTTGAGCAATGTTTAGTTCGAACGGCGTACAGAGTACCTTGCGGGGTTCAAACTAAAAAGTGTTCTGATTAAAAACGGTCAGATAACCGGGGGTCCACGGTATCGCATAAATCAGCAATGTTGTATGCAAGATGGCATTAAACAAGGGAAGTTTTAAGGCGATGGATATGAGATGTTTCAAAACTCCGATGCCCAGAACTTCGATCTCGTGTGATGTTTTTCAATATCGTTTCCGAAACAACCAAATTGACCGTACAAATCTTTTCCCAGACTAAATATGAGGAATTTCAATTCACTATATGGCCTATAGTAAACTTAATTAACCAATCCACCACTTCCCAACTTATCCCACAGGACATTGGTGTCGAGAACAACGAGGACAACCGTCGCCAGTACCGTCAGCTGCTGTTCACCGCCGACGACCGTCTGCAGGAGAGCATCTCCGGTGTTATCCTGTTCCACGAGACCCTGTACCAGAAGGCCGATGATGGCACTCCGCTGACCCAGATGCTCAAGAAGAAGGGCATCCTGTCCGGAATCAAGGTTGACAAGGGTATCGTCGATCTGATGGGATCCGAGGGCGAGTGCACCACCCAGGGTAAGTCTTAAACATCGAAATTGCCTTGACGCAGAGAGGGACAGAAAAACGAGAGTACGGTTCTTATTTCTTTCGATTATTTTCAACACATAATAATCAGGTCACAGGAACGTGTAAAGCAACACTGGCAATCATCGCTGGCGCTGCCAACAAACAATAATCCAGGTTAATTAGAGCGCTTGCTTCCCCCCTGGTGAAATTAAAAGTCCAATCAATCGAAGTTGTTATGTATCCTAGAACTCCATTCAACTATTAATAATTGGAGAATTGTTGCTCGTTTGGAACGGTTCATTTGATTTGAAAATAACAGAAATTACTGTTCGATGAAAAGTTTCCCGTGGGAAACGATTTCTTTTGTCAAACGTAACCAATTTTGATTGGTGTGAGATGAAGGAAATGAAAACTTCTGTGATTGATAAACGGGAAATAGGGCGGAGAGTTTTTTTTTATTCTATCAACCAACTGCCAGCCACGGCGCGAAAGCTCTCAGGATGTAATAAAACCCATTGAAAATGGATCAGCTGTTGGCTGCGGAGGACAAGATGATGGCACAAATGGAGCGAGTATAAAAAAAATCTTAAATTGAATTTTTAATCTTCCTTTATCTGCAGATGCTCGCTTTTTTCAATTTCTAATACTCTGATCGATTTCTGGTTGTTCTACTGGCCGAAGACTAGCCATTCGTTTCAATTCAACGATTATTATTAGTATTTTAACTTTGATAGCCTCTTAACGGAATCCCTTTTGGAAGAGCTTTTTGAGTGTGTTGATTTATTTCCTTTTAATTCCGTTACAATTGCTTATCATTTGACAGATAGGCGTATTTCGTTTACTACTTGAAGACTTCATCTGTGCTAAGTGGTGTTGAGTACTTGGCACTGATGAAGTCTGCAAGTAGTAGATGGAATACGGCTGTCAAAAGATAAGCAATTATAACGGAATTAAAATGAAATAATTTAACACACACACACAAAAGTCTCGATAATAATTAGGTTTTTCATTCAATTTACATGCGAGGTTAAATATTTAACTGTGACAATAAAAAACAAAACTCTGCCGCTTTTATTTGCTCAAACAACACGCAAACTCATCAATCCTGATCGCTGAAGCATTTACGGCATTGGACAAACACTTGCACTCCCACCCAACTACATTGATTCACTTCACACCAGCAACAATATCGTTGGCGGACGTAATTATCACACCATAGATCAAACACCCACCATCATTAGCATCATCATCATCATCATCATCATCATCATTGATCTATTCGCTGTCATAAGTACAAGCTATTGTTGCGATATATTGCTTATCATGCTGCAACTGCGATAATAACCGTAATTTATGCGAATGATGTGTACTATGTGACACTAGAAGATAGTCGGAAGGATGGGACAAATGGTTCATTAGGTGTCGGACCCGACCGCACAAATATGGACACGCGAGACTCGTTTCCACTGCAAATACTACTCACCGTTATTGTTTTCCTGTTGTTTGTTGTTGTTGATGTTGTTGTTGTTGTTAAAGTACGCGATAGTAGCCAGGACGAGACGAGCGATCTCTGGTCGCATGGGATAGGTGCCTATTATTTACACTTGCTGCAAGCGACACTCCCCCACCAACAATGTTGGGGGAGAGAACGGAGCACGAGTGCATGATAGGATTATCCTTTTCGCGTGGGTAATGATTATCATGGTTTTGTTTGTCTATTTATAGGAAAGGTAATCGAAGCTGTTCACTGGGCTGCAGTTCCACCTATAAAGGAAATTTTATTTTTTTTTCATTTTCCATATCCTAGACGATGGAAATGCCCCTTTATTCAAATTTTCATTCCTTTGGTGGAAACGTTTTGAACTTTCAAGCTCACCTTCTTGATAATTGAACAGGGTGTCGACTACCTGGAAGGATACAGTCCCTTTGAACTAATTTTAGAACTGTTTTCCAAAACTAATTTGAGCAGATTTTAAAATGAATTCTAGAGATAAAACCACAGGTATTTCAGAGAATATTTTCTAGGGAGCATCAGGAAAATCTCTAAGAGAACTTCTAAGAGTGAAGAGGGTTGCAGGATTCGTGAAAAACACTAAGGGAAGCTAATTTTGAGGATACAGTTCAAAAATTATTCTACGAATATTTATAAAGAAATTCAGAGGATAATTTCGAATGGAATTTCTAAAGAATTTTTATACAAATTCCCCTGCCCGATGATGTTGGCAGGGAAGGGGACTACCAGTTTTGCTCATAAAAGCTAATAGGCCTTTTACAATTGTTGGTCGAGAATCTGAGGTGAATTGCATGGGAACTCTACAGAGAATTTAAAGCTTATTAAAACAATTGAGGCTCCAGTGAACTCTTGGACCCTGGCGTCGGTAGCATTGGTACTCAGCACGGAAAACAAGATCAACAGAAAAGAAATCAAGGAAAAAAAAAGGATGAATTTTAAGATTGTTTTTGGAGTGTTCTACAGATAATTTCTGGACCGTTATAAAGACAAGACCCCCTAACGTGGGTAGATCACCTTTTCGTGGTACGTTACGGGATGTAAGATCTACCACCGATTCCTAGTCTTGGCTACTTTAAACTAGGGGAACATGATTTTTACTTTTTATCCCTTGTTGATAGTGCTCGGGTTGCCTGGACCGAGGATGATCTTGAAATAAGGAAAACATGAGTTAGTTAGTCTTCACTTATGTGATTCCTAATCTTCTATTCGTTGTTCCCTAGTTTGAAGTGGTTAAGACTAGGGCTTCAATGCATGGTCATTATCGGTGTCATTCCTTAATTTTGTTGCTAAGGAATCCAATTTTGACTGACAAAGGGGTGCGCCTTTGGAGGGTATTCCATTAGAATCGATTCCTTGCGATGAATGACAATGACAACTGTATCAAAACCGAATACTTTATCATTTCTCAATAGTGATGGAGTAATACGACATGCACTCTACTAAGGACACGGGATATACTACAAACGATCAAATTACTGGTCGCAGTGGTGTTATGTCCCGAACAGAGGAAAAAAAAAGACATTTTCAAGGGACTTCCAGAGAAAATTTAAAATTTATTTTAGAAGTATTCCGAAACTCTCAATTAAATAAGAGCCTGTAAAATTTTGAGCGAAGACTTCGAACGTGTCGCAGAACCAAATTCAAGATCCTAGAAAGGTACTAAACCGGGAAAACTTTCCAAATTCTGGGGGAAAACGGGAAAAGCCAAGAAATTGCTAATCAAGATTTGCTGGTCATCATGAAGATGGAGGAGATCTGGATGAATGTATGCCCCTAAAGTGGAGCTCGAAAGCAGCCAGAAAAGAACTTCTGCGGGTGAGAAAATTGGCACGCGACTTCTGTCTTTTTGGCGATTTCCCTAACACAGATTTCAAAGTTGAATTTCTTCCGGTCGCACCAAACGGTGTTTATTCAAGCACCGCGTGGTGAGTGGTGGTGTGCTCCAGTACACAACGAAATGCTTCCTGCAAGCTGCAAGCTACCAAGGCTGGCCTCAGCCACTGATCAGACTGCCTGCAAGCATCCAGAAAGCACTAATATAAGGGAAATGGCTCTAATGTTGGCCTATGGATCTAAGATTGGGCCCATCGCTAAAAATTAGGTATTTTTCAATTTTATCTAGATGAACCCGTCATTGGGAGGGTACTTATGGATATTTTTGGTCGCTATTGAAAATTTAATCGATTGCTGAATTTATGTATGGGCTCAAATTAGAGGTATTGAGGCCGACATTACATCCATTTCCCATATATCTGTGAAAAGTAATAGCTGATGGGGTTGTGTTGCTACAAGCGGGTAGTCAAATTTGCTGAAAAAACAGCAAATATCAGGGAATTTTGTTTTTCTTCATTGAGTCGACACCCTGCTAGACGATGACAATGCTCTGATATTCAAATTTTCATTGCTTTGTTGGAAACGTTTTTGAACTCTCAAGTTCACCTTCTTGACAACTGAAACATTTTTTTTTCCGTGTTGGGTGTATTCATCACTGCGACCATTATTTTGATCTATTGTGATATTTCCCGTTTTTATATTGCTTTATCAGTTATGTCGTATCACTATTTTGTGAAGCGACCGACATAGACTGACCAAAAGCATTTTCCCAGCCAGGTATTACATTTCGAATGAAATGTACTACTTTACTGGGACCTGCATTCCAAATATCAAAGGGTTCTGCCAGCCCCTTATCCAGAAAAATACGCCTCTTATTGAAGATTGCTGCACAAGAGCATAGCAGGTGTTCAGAGTCTTCCTTTTCTATACCACAGAATCGACACATATCCTCTTGAAGTTTTCCTATTAGCTTCAAATGATATTTACATGGACAATGTCCTGTTATCAAACCAGTATAGACACTGAGATCTTTCTTTGATAATTCAAGAATTTTGCTAGTCATTGAAATGTTCGGAATTATGAACCGTTTCGACTGCCTAGCAATGGAAGTGTTGTTCCAATTGGTCTCCACTTTCATTTTTTTCCATTTCTTGAACTCCATTTTAAGAGAACAAGTAGAAACTCCACAGAATGGTTCTGGTCCTATGAATTGCTGAGATGATCCTAGTCTGGCTAACGTGTTGGCTTTTTCATTCCCTTCAATTGCGCAGTGACCAGAAACCCAATATAGGTTTACTTGGTTTTGACAGGCCAATTTCTGAAGTGACATTGCACATTCCCATACGAGTTTGGAATTGCATGTTGCTGATTTTAAAGCATTTAATGCTGCTTAACTATCAGACATAATGCAGATATTCGAATGTTTATAATTCCTGCGCAAGCATATTACAGAGCATTCAAGAATTGCTTGAATTTCTGCTTGGAACACGGTTGGCCAGTAACCCATGGATATTGAGATATCAATCCCTGGACCAGTTACCCCTGCTCCCACACGGTTGTTCAATCTTGAACCGTCTGTATAAAAAACAGTTGAACCTGGACCGATGTTTTGTCCCCCACTTTCCCAAACATTACGATCAAATTCTGCTGCATTGTATAAACG